GCTCACATTTGCAAGCAAGGGCTCACAGGTCCTTGTGAAGGAACACTTGTCGTGAAACTGCTTCCTTTGTTCGTAAAACGGTCCCGCTCTTTTACCAACAGGCCTAGCTCAGTTGGCACACCCATGGACTGTTGACGTACAGAGCAACGAGATGAATACAAATCTTGAAGTATTGGGGGCTGGTCTGTTCCCCAATATCTCAAGACCGTTGCCCTTTTACCAAGTTTTAGGGGGGGGGAAGAAGAAAAGATGAAAAAAAAAAAAAAGAAGAAGAAGGCAGCATCTACATCCATGCTATATCAATACATCATCCGTCACATCAGGTCAGCTGCCGTCTTCCCCTGAACAAAGCGCACCCCTATAATAAGTGTGCACTGTACACAAGCTAGTTTTTGGGTCCAATACAGCCATGATGAAGGTGCGTTGTGTCCGGGGGAAGGTGGTAGTGCACTGCATGGACTTTCTTTTTTCCAATCAAGAAAACACTTGGAAAAAGAAAACAGGAGGGGCCTTTTTCTTTTTCTTTTTTCTTTCTTTCTTTTTTTTTTTAACTTCGTATGTGGGAAAACCTACTTAATCAGGTGATAAGAGCAGCCCCGTTAAGTAGGCCCCAACGTTGAAGGCTCCATCTATTGGTGGGAAGCTGCAACTGCTGGAAATTGGGTCCAGCGTCCCTTGACAATGATGTTATGTGTATGAGCTGGAAATCAGGCCCAGCGTCCCTATACAGTAAATTGTGGAGATGTGATAGTGTGCACCGTACATCCAATACAGTCTGTATGTGTTCGTATTGCAATATATGTGCACGAAGGGAAAAACCCTTTCCACCATACCTACCGTATCACCAGAAAGAGCAGAGGCATTGATTACTTCCCTGTGCATGCGAACCAAGACTCGAAACCCTAAACACCCTACCTCCCCTTGGGGGGCAATCGACACCCCTTCATGACTGGAAGTTGAGGACCGGTCAACTCCCAATCGATAAAGGGGAAATCATCTATCCTACTCCCTCCGGTGCCAGGCGAAGAGGAGTGGATCAACCTGTGAAAGCACCGGACAGAGACGGTGGGGAATGGTAGATCGCACATTCAACCCCAAGCCCCTCCTCGCCATCCCCATCAGACTGCTAATTCTCCCCCACTGTGCCGGTGTTGATATTGCCACTGCCATTAACTTCGCTGATGCTGTTTCGGAGGCCCCTGTCGGTGCCAGTGTTGTTTTTGTTTTTGCCGTTGTTGTTGCTGCCATTACAGCTGGTATCGTTGTTGTTGTTGTTGTTGTTGTTGTTGTTGTTGTTGTTGCTGTTGTTGTTGTTGTTGTTGTTGTTGTTGTTGTTGTTGGTGTTGTTGTCGCTGCTGTTGTTGCCGCTGTTATCACTGCTGTCGTCACAGTGACTGCCGCCGTTGACGTTGCTGATGTTGATGATGACGTCGTTGTCATTTTTGTTATAATTGTTGTTGTTCTTTCTGTTACCGCGGATGTCTTCGCCGCAGCCGATGTTGCTGATGTTGTTGTTGTCGTTGCTGTTGGTGTTGTTGCTGCTACCTTCCTTGCTGCCTGTGCGTCATCCATTTTGTTCCCCCCGTCGTCTTGATCAGCTTCGAACCTACTACCCTCTCGCACATCCCTCCCATCTCCAGTAGATAACGCAGGTCACGGCCCTTTGTGAAGAGGGCTTTGCAGGCTCCCATCACATCATCCGCCCGCCTCCAATCGATGTAGGCTTTGAGGAGGGCACTTTTTCTTAATAGAACACAAACAGTCAGAACCATACTTGCAACTGCACGCGCCGCACGGCCGTGACATGCAGAACTTGCCCATCCGCCGCACCGGCAACAATTTCTGTTTTCTTTTTTTCTGTTTTTGTGGATGCAGAAGAGTGTACTAACTAAGGAAGGGGGTTCGACGTTCTCAACGTTCCTAGAGAACGCCGGACCCCCATTGCGGGTTACGGCGTTCTTCAAACGCCGGACCCCCATAAGGGGGTACAGCGTTCTTATAACCCCGTGTTTTGTGTTTTTCGGTTTTTGTGGATGCAGAAGAGTGTACTACCTAAGGAAGGGGTTACGGTGTTCTTCAAACGCCGGGCCCCTATAAGGGGGGTACAGCGTTCTTATAACCCTGTACCCCCCTAAGGGGGCCCGGCATTCTCGGAATGCCGGACCCCCCTTTAGGGCTACAGTGTTCTGAGAATGCCGGGCCCCCTTTTGGGGATCCTCTTTCTCCACTTATATGCGCAGGGGCCATGCTAATCTTCTCTGTATGGTTCCAATTTTAACAAATGTCCCGGAAGAGATCATGTTCAAGTACATCAGTGTAAATTTATTTTTCTGTTGTTCCATGAACATTGAAATAGCATCAAATGGGTCTCTGGGACATCAGTCTTGACCGTTAGGTGACGGCATTACTCTCAGAACATGTTTTCTTTTTTTTTTCATGCTACAACAAATTTTCAAAGGAAATGCAGGTGACCACTGATCCACGCCTGTGACCTCTTTTTTTTTTCTGGGTGCCTATTTCCCCTGTGCGCAGTATAGATCCCGTGCGCTCGTGCGCCGTACGTGCGAAATTGCACACACTGAGTGCGCTTGCATGTATGGAACTCTGGGCCACCAGAGGCGACCGAGACCACTTCCCGAGTGGGGAAATATATATATAAAAGATAAGGGAAAATTGCTATTGTACCCCACTTGAAACGGTATTCACCTGTTAGCAATAGCGAATGCAGATCCCAGGGCTCAATCCCTAGTTCTTACCTTACCTGTGTACAGTACCTGTGTCGACCCCGAGCGTTGAACCCATGACCTGTGTATTCGCAACATGGTAGGCTGTCGTAGGTCCGTAAGTTGTAGGGGTTCGATCTGTAGACCTGTCGGATAGAGGTCTTAGTGAGTTCTAGAAGTCGTAGCTGTAGCTCTTCTGAAAGGTCAAGTTCGTAGCTGCTACAGTCCTGAAAGGTGAAGGTCGTAGCTGCTACAGTGTCGAAGGGCCAAGTCTACAGACTTCCAGAAGGTCCGGAAGTGGCCCTTCCAACATTGCTCACAGCAGACTAGAGGCAAGTGGGCAAGTGGTGACGTCCACCCTTGCTGAGTCAGCGGTACCCAGTCCCAGTCTCACTGAGTCCAGTCAGCAAGTACCATGAGGGACTGTGTGCACCATGGGCCCGGTGGAAAGAGGCAGACCAGCGACTTCCAGAAGTATAAATCAAGAGGCAGCGTCCAGCCATTCATTCATTCCTGCGTAAGCCATGCGGAAGCGCTGCTTGAGCGACTTGTGCGAGGTGGTCTGCAGAGAGCCCGAAGGTAAAGTGGGCTGAAGGAGATAGTTAGCCATAGCCATAGAGGGACAGCGGCCATAGCCGCCATAGCTCATAGGCAAGTGTAGAGTATGAGAGTGTGTGTATGTGTGTGGGATATCCAGGGTGATCCAGAGTTGAGTGAGTGCGAACAGTGGTGTTGGATAGAGAGACGAGAGTTGGAGTGTACAGGCGCTGATGCGCCATAGCCTGTTGAAGCGAGCTATCTGACTGTGTTTTCGACTTCCATATCTCTGAGCTTTGAGTGGGCGCTGTGCGCCAGTGTGACTCACCATCTGTTTGCATGAGTGCGGAGTGGAAAAGAAAGCGAGTCTGATTGCATTGGTATCAGAGCTGGTACCCGCTATCTCACGCGCCGTCGTCGTCCGTGGTATGCCGAAGTTGGGCGCCATAGCTGAAGTTGCCATCGCTGCAGAAGAGTCCGCCATAGCTGCACTTGTGGAGGAAGGTGTCGCGTACCTGCAAAGAAGACAACGACGAAGAGAGAGAGAGAGAGAGAGAGAGAGAGAGAGAGAGAGAGAGAGAGAGAGAGAGA